AATTTCCTGCCACCTCTTGATATGAAATCCTGAAACAGATTTACGCTAAGTATCAAACTCTTTACCACTGGATCAGGAGACCTTGATACCATGTCAAGGACCAATTCTCTCCGAAAAGCTTTAGTTATGTGTTATATCTAAACAAAATGCATAGGGAACCTCTGCAACTTACTTTCAAGAACATGTTTTTCTCTCTCCCTCCTTAAAAACAGAGTACTATGTGTATGATCTTAATCAAATATACGGTAACACCATGAAAATTTCAAAACGAGTTAAACAATCTGATTTGATTGATGATTTCAACAGATTCTTCAATATTTTGAATTTTGATCTTTATAACTCCATGTAAAACAAAAATAGTTTTAAAATTTGAGAGCATTAATAAACCACCACCAAATCTTAGAAGTTTAAGCTTCCGAGAGAGCACTAAATGATTGAATTTATTCTCTTATGTGTGCCCCCATTAAGAATGCCTGTTTTCATAAATTTAACACATCGGAACCACTTGTTTCTACCTGAAGAATGATCTAAAGAAGACAGAACTAGGTATCCAGGATTACGGCATTGGACCTTTAGCCGAAAGCATAGAAAGACCTCGTGAAGGAACTATACAACTCAGTAGCCTAAGCCTATAGTTTCAACTAACAGCTGCCCTAAAGCTTAAGCTATAAAGAACAACCCAATAATGGTTTTTACCTCTAATATTTCTCTAATGATAAAGCCATCTGGGATTGAAGTGTAAACAAAGTACAGGCACCCTCTGACATTTTTGGTGAAATTATAATTTAATTAAAGGAAGTTATCAGTAAGGTTTGAACTCTTGATCATTTGATAGACTTTAATATCATGTCATGAACACACTATTCAAACAGTTTACTCAGGTGCAAGCCCAGGAACTTTAACTTCCCAGAGATAGTTGGGAATATAACAAAATTTAACTAACAATATATAATAATTTCTTTTATGTAATGATCAGTTTGATTTAGCTAGAAGCTACTTTCTAGGCAGTGTGAGAGTGAAATTGCTGGACAAAAAGGCGGGAAGCCTGGAATAATCATCATCCTCTTCTAGAAGTCAAATATTTGATTTTTTTATGTTGATGTTCTGTCCACCTCTATTCTCGTGGCTAGACATCATTAAGATTTCATTCACTTAATTTCCTAATTGATTTTTGCTTAACTCTACCTGAAATTCTTGCCACCTTGAAATCTAATTTCAGAAGTACTGTTTTGAGCACTAAAACTACTATCAAGATGGTTGTTAATTTCTGTCAATTCCTTGCAAGACACCCTTACATTAACACACAAGATACATACAATAAGCTTTGAATACAGCTACTTTTCTAACTAATTAATACTCTACTTATAAATACCCTGATCTTTCTCAAGCTTGTGAAGTCTTAATTGCAATGCACCATTCACAAAGACTAATCAGCCTGAACAAGGTCCAGCTGCTTGCTAATACCGAGGATCAAAGCTATATGATGTAGTCAGTAAGTACCCTCGTCAAACAGGTATAGGCCCATAAGTTTACTAAAATAAAGTCCACGATATCAGTATCCAAGAATCAAATAAATCCTTGCACTTTGACTGTTGGTTGAATCTCATCAAACAGGAAACACAAGTTAGACATTTAGACTCAAATAAAGAGTATTTAATTAGCCACAATAATAATTTGGTAATTTTGGAATTGCTTCACGCATACCGAGTAGTACTACTTCTGTTTCTTTATATAAGAAACAAATTGATACTCTTTTTTATTTTGATTATAAAAAACATAGCTCTACTTTAAGATGTATTAATTGTTAATTTTCTTTTATAATACCTTTTATTTCTTGTGAAATTTGTTAATAAGGCACATACTTAATTCTCATGAAAGTGAATGCATTTATTGATCTATTAACAATAGAAATTACACTAATTTGTTGAAAAAATTATCTGTTGAATTAGGTGCAATGTTGTTAAATGCAACCATTATTAAACAATTCAAGTATTCAACCACACTATACCTAATTTAAGAGATAACTTTTTCTACAAATAAGTGTAATTTTTATTATTAATAGATCAATAAATGCATCCACTTGCGTGAGGGTTAAGGAATCGTCTTATTAATAAAATTTAATGTTATAATACCTTTAATAAAAATTAATTACATTAACTACTTTTATTGGTGTTGATGAATTAGTCATTTGTTTCTTATACAAAGATCAGAGGGACCATTACACACTGAAATTGGTAACTGAGAAAGAACAGAAACTACGCCAAAGATCATAGCTTTAGTTTACTATTAAAGTCATACACATAGTACCAAATCTAAAAGATCACCTGAGTAAAAATACCCTTTGCTCTAGAAACACGCAGACGAGTTGCAATTTCCTTTGGAGCAAAGCTATCAGCTATTGATACCACAACACATCCAGCTAGAACAATGGCTAGATATATAATCACAGCATTGACTGTCATTTGCATGTCAATGGCGATTGCATCTCCTTTTGAGAATGTAGCACTTATTGCATTTGCTACCGACCTGGAAATAACAAGCCAAAAAACATGAAAAATATACAAACTAATCTCAACTCAATCAACCTAGTGATGAAATTGAAAGGAGGCACACCAAACTAACTTAGCACAAGTATGATGAGTAACGTAACTTTGGTCAAAAAGGCAAGAGTTTGAGTTGAAAGGCTTACATTACTTGGTGTCGGAGTTGTTTAAGCGAGATTTGATTAACCTCGGAATCATCAAAACCTTCATCTCTCCAAACGATGGCTACACTGTCATCTGATTTGTAGGGACGAGAAGAGGGTTGCAGACAGCAATCAGCAATGTTGAGGACAGAGCCAGGAAGCCAAGTCCCTCCATGTTTAGAAGGGTCAGAAGTGTCTAAAATGCACTTTGGAGGTTCAACAAATGAAACCGATAGTTCCTTGAGAACAAGGGGCCAGTACAGCTGCATTGACAATGGGTAATAAGATTAAGAAAGAAAGAATAGATGTTGAAATGAAAGAAAGGTATTAGATGTTGGAGGGTAGTTAGGTTGCTAGCCTGAGGGTGTTGAACAGAGAAGTTGTGAAAGAGAGGAAAGCTAGAAATAGGGTCTTTGTAGGAAGGTCCTAAAAGCTTAGGACCATGAGTTTCCATGAGACGACCGAGGTTGGTGCGTTTGGATTGGTCTCTGAAAAGAGAAGAAAGAAGAATGAGTAGAGTGAAGAGTGCAGATGAGAATAAAGGAGAGAGACAGTAAGATGTAGTAGTGAAAAGGCATACGTACAGAGAAGGGAACCAATAAAGTGGAAGAGAAGCAGAAGCATTGTGAGAGTGATAAACGGAGTAGTAGAGAAGCTGATGCAAGGAGTGTGGGAAAGATGGTTTCAGCGCCTTCCGAGTGACAAGGTGGCGCCATATGAGTGATGGGTCGGTGGGAGAGAGAGACACAATATTCTTCAAAACGCTGTATAATTCATTTGCTTCTGCCACTGTTAAGCCTGCATTCACCAACTCTTCCACTCCCAACTCCGTCACGCTCTTTGATCCCATTTTTCTGTGTCCCTTCTTTTCCGGTTGCCAAGTTGGAAGTAAAAAATGCGGAGAGGTGGGTTGTTGAGTTCAGTTTTAGGCTCCAAACTTGACCACGTTGATATCTGCTATCACCTAACTCTTGCGTAGTGCTACCTCCATTTTTTTTTTTAATTAAGATTTATATAAAAAAAATTAAGAAAATAATTAATATTTTAAAATTTTAAAATATTTATTACTTTTTTTTATTGTATTTATTACTTATTATCCTTTAGTAGTTGAAAAAATAATAAATACATTAAAAATAAATAAATATATTAAAAATAAATATATATTAATTATTAATAAAAAATAAAAATAATAATAATAAATCATTAATTTTAAAAAAGTGATAATAAAAAAAATAATGTCAAAATTATTATTTAAAAAAAAAAAAAACGGAGGAAGTAGGTGACTGCGATTCCAACGACGTTCTTTTAATGTCACATAGTGTGGTCCCTACTCCCTACCCGCAGAATTTATTAATGGTTCTTTTAACTAAAAAAAACTTAAATCCCTGTTATTGTAATGAATTAGTTGAAATGATCGACTACCTAATAGTTTATGGGTTTAACAGTAATGTAATACATTATAAAGTTTATATTTTTCAAAATTATCTTTTAACCCATAAATAATACATATTTTAATTGTATAATTATTTTAATTATCATACCTATCCACTTATATCAAAATACTTAACTAAGTGAAGTCTCTTTTCTCAAATTAATATTTTTTTCATCTACAAAACTTAAATTAATACATTCTTTAAAAAAATTCAATTCAATTTCACTAGAACCAATGACTTATTATTCATTAACTATATTTTTTATAATATTATTTTATTTTATAAATCAAAATATTAGTATAGAATTAAAACATAATAATTATAATATTGTTAAGGGTGTGTTTGATTATTATTCTTTTTTTGTTCAAGATCATAAATATTCTCCACTGTAAGCAATTATATTCAAACCAATTAAGACTATTATGAGTGATCAATGATTATTTAATGTTATTGCATGTCCAAAACTCAGGATTGTAGACTTCTTGTTAAGTAGGTGTTACCCTCATTTACGTGATCTAATACATGACCATTATCTTTTTTCAGTCTATTTATATACAAATTTAAAAATGTTTTTGAAAATTTCTATATAGAAAAATATCCTTTATTTTTTAAAAAAAAAAAATTCTTGAAAACACTTATAAGTTATATCCAAACAGTTTCGTGATTCTAACATAACCCCCAATGCAAATGTCATTATGTCAATTCAGTCCCATTTCCAATGCATGTCAAGGCTGAAGGCTCTTCCAAAAATAGTTCTGAACCTCATTCTTCTCAGATCCAACACTTTACAAATACATGGTCATTCTTACTATTCACAGATATCATCAAACTCAGTTAAATAGAATCCACAACTTTATAGAAAACTTTAGAATCCCTGACAGTAAATTTAAAAGTCATGTTTCCCCATATTTGGTTAAGTAAACAAATTTAATATAACAAAATAAATAAAAACAAGAACTATGAAAATAATTAAAAGCATGTCATAATGATCATTATCCACTTGTAACTATGAAGATCAACTAAGGCACTCACAGGAACAACGAGAATGGAGGAGATAATGTTGTTATTGTGAAGTATCAGCTATCATTCTCATTTACATAAATATTGGAACATTATATAGAAGATGTAAACCAATCAAAGGGCACTTGTATCACATTCACTTGGCAAATCTGACAGTCCACTCTGCAGCAATATCGTCATGTTTTGCTCTGTCTCTCAAATACAAGTGAGCAATACCAGGGACAACAGCATTATTATCTGCAACAATGATGACAACTTTACACTCCAAGATCATAGATACCTTCTTGGTATATTGATTGGAAATGTTGGCATTACTAATATTATATGTTTGGAAAGGAGAATTCTACTACCACAACACTTCTTTACAATTTAAGAAACTGATAGGAAGAAAAATATGGGATAACATGAGTGATCAGACGAAGAACAGAAAAAAATGAGTTGTAAAAAGTATTGTAAAATGTTGATGTAGGAAATAGGAATAACATTACTTGTTTGGAAATTACAAAGCTATTTAGTTTAAGAAAATGCCTTTCTATTTTACAAAAATGTCTTATTGTTTTTACCTTAATTTCTTTTTTTTCAAAGATTTCCATAGGAAACAATGAAAACAAAATATTTTAAAAAAAATTTCATTGTTCTCTGTATAAATCTTTAAAAATAAGAAACCAAGTGATAACAAGGTAACAATTTTGTAATTATTTCTAAAACAAGAAATAAAAACAGAAAATGTATTCTCAAATCAAACAACTCCTTAAGTTAATTGATTCCAAATTGTCAAAAAGACAAACAATAGTTGGTTTCCTGTTAAAATTTCTTCTTCTCTAAGACAGGGCAATAACAAGACAAGGTTTGCCTCTACTGCTGTAACTGAAAGCAAAAGGCTGAAGAATATAACTAACATGAAAAGTTGAAAAACATCATTAACCCCAATTTATGTAAACAAGATAGAAAATGAAGAGAAGACATATGAATACAGTGACCATAGTAGCCATACCAATAAGTATTCTTTTAAGAGGTCGGAAGAACTTACAAGGATCAGGATTTGTCAAAATTGATCTAACTGCAAGTAGCACCTTAGTAATTGTCAGTGCTGGACTCCAATCATCCTTCAATATTCCCATACTAACAAGGCCATCAGGGTCTACATTGCAGTGGTAAATGCGTGTTTTGAATACTACCTGCAAGCTCAATTCTTTAATTTAAGACAGTAAAAAACAATTAAATTACTTCAACCGCCCTAAACATTTTCTGGTTTGTCTGCATATTGCCCCTTTGTTTTCAAAACCTTTACCAACCTTCCTTGGTCAGGGGAAGTTTATGAAAAATCAAGAAAATCTGAAGGAGGATAATTTAGGGTTTTCAGAGGACATTTTGAACATTTCATGGAAGGTTTGAGCAGGTGTTGAAATTAGAAGGGAGGTACTTGAAAAGGAAAGGGATTCCAACGTACCTGGGGAGGCTTGAAGGGATAATCACTTGGGAACTTGATGTCAAGGAAAAAAATGCCACCTTGGTAGGGTGTTCCTACATAGAACAACATGGGTGTTCCAAACATGAGAGGGTTAATAATAAGTGAAATTGGTTGAATAATTGTATTGTTCTTTGTGGCAAAAAAAGAAGTGAAGAGACCTGGGGTGCCAATAATGGTGGCAATCCAGTGATAGAGGTTATCGCCCTTAGGGCCAGCAGAGCAATGAGGAGGAGGGTCGTTGTTGAGTTCCACCATTTCCCTCTGAATCCTCCTCCCCGAAGCGGACACCGATGTTGTGGGTATCCACGACGACGTTGAAGAAGTCCAAGATGATTTTCCTCCACCTGATATCATCATCACCTTCCTCTTCCCACACTAAACGATTCTCTTCTTCAAAATGTTTCATTTCATCGTCTTCCGTTTCATTTTAATCACTCTTTCATTATTAATTTGTCGCCGTTGCTCCCACTGAATTTCTGCGTCGTGGCCTCTTTTCACTTCGTTGGATAAATGCTTAAAGAATAAACTAAAAGTAAAAAATACTTCATCCAGTCTTTTTTTTTTTTTTTTTCACAATATTCAAGTATTTTTTTTAGAAAAAAATCAACTGATCTAAAATAGGTCTCTTGTATTAGCTGATAAATTTAAGACAATTTTAATACGTAGTACTATAATTTGGATTAACTAGCTTCGTTAATTCTTAATTTGATAAATCAAGTAATTAGGTGTTACATAAATTATGGAAAGGTGTAATAACATTGTTACTTAAGACTTACAAATTTTCAAAAATATTCGACTTACATTTATTTATTTTATTTAAATATTTGTTTGGTCCTATAATTTCATAAATCTTATTTTTTCAGTTATAAATGTTTCATTTTAATTCGTGTATTTATTAATTTTTTATTTTAGTCTTTTTAATCTTTATAGTAAATAAAAGCAAAAATAGTATATATATATATATATATATAGACATATAT